TATTCCTTATTAGTAGCTTTGATAAGAGGCTTTGGGGGAAGAGGTTGAAACTAATGGCTATAATGAAATTTGGGGTTCTCTAAAGATTTCATTTATCTGTGCTATGGGTCTCCCCATTAAATGCATATCTGTTCTGTGTACCTTTGCCCATGGTATGCATATCATAGTAACATCTATTACTGAAACCTTGCTGACTTCTTAAATTGGGTGAAAAAGACTGTGAAACTCACTCTTTGAGAACATAAAAATACGGATACAAAGGTCATAGCTCCAGGTACTGAATGAGACAGTGTTTTGGGAAAAAAAACAAAACAAAAAACACAGAAAAACAAAATACTAGAGTAGAAAAGATACACTGTAGTTTTCATTTGTGTTCATGTATATCTTTTGCCTTTCCTCAATTTAGTAGAAATGTAATAGGTGTTAAGATTCTTTTTATCATACAATGTGTTTTAACCTAGCATTTTAGAAACCTTTTGACGAATTCATAGATAAAAGGCCATGTCAGAATGTTACTTTTCATTTTCAGATGTCATGAACTGGAATTTTGCATAATTTTCCTGGGAAAAACTGTATTTCTTAAAAATTTAAAGCCTTTTAATAAAACAAAAGAAAACCTCAAACTTTTCCTTGGTAGTCCTCATGCCCTTCTATGATTCTTAAGTATAAGTTAACTAGTTTCAGATGTGTTTTGTTCTCTGACTCAAAATCAGCCCTTTATTTTAGAAAAAGAAATTGTGTAATTAGTACTTAATTGCTTTGGATATTTTGGGGCATTTAGAGGCGAGGGTAATTAAAAGACCAGAGAAATTAAACTTTCACAGTGTTCTTTACGTATGTGTAATTCCTTTTTAAAATCCCCTCCAAAGGCAGGCCTGGCAACTTAAAAATAAATGAAGACCTGGGTTGCTTTTAAAAATTTAACATCAGTTTTATCTGTGGATGCAGTTTCATTGATTTTTTTAAACTTCAGTTGGAGAGAGGGCCATTGTAATGCTAGAAATCAAGAGATTACCTAGTTCATTTCCTCTTTAGGCACACGTCACCTAAATAATATTAGACAGATAGTCATCACCCTTCTTATGCTTCAAGATCCTCTAGGAGTAGAATAAGAATTTTTTCGCTACTTCATAAATGTCACACGTGATCAAATTTAAATATTTGCCATAATTAAAAGTGGTATGTGGTCTGTTGGGACGAACTAGAATGTGGTTGATGTAGGCTCTTGTCTGTATCTTTAGCTATCCGAGAGGCCTAGGTTATGGTGAGTCACCTCAGTCCTCTGGGCCACTTATGTGTAAGTTAGAATATTGGACTAGCAATCTCTAAGACTTTACAAGTTCAGAAATACTGTGTTTCATGGGTCACACACATTATCTAAAAATCCCACATTTTTGTGGATCTCGAGGCTAAGAGGTCTGCTTTTAAGCAAGAATATTCTGTTAATTTTGATAATGAACACTTGAACTGTGACATCAACAAGCTTAGTAGTTATGAAATATATTGGGTGTTTTTAACATACACCTTAAATATGACCTTACTTCATATTTGCTATATTCACTGAATGAGATGGTTATACAGGATTGGAGATTGATTTCATCTTGATCCCCAACGATTTGGGAAGTTATACTAAAAGCACTATTCTCAAACATTACTGTTACTCTTTTTTTGTCCTTTCTAGCTAATATTATTCTTCTTTTTTTCCTTAATTCTGATCCTTTTTTTTTTTTTTCTTAAAGAAAACATTAGGTTACTGAAACATCCAGTTTTCTACTTGGGAAGTTCAAAGAATCCTAAGTAACCATTTGGCTCCAATATGTACAAAGAGCTATAAAAACCTCGATGAAATGTATAATTCTCAAGGAAAATATAAATTGCAAAACTGACTGTTAGAAGAGACAAAAATCTAAACAGATTGGTAGCCGTCAAAGAAATGGGAAAAGTAACCAAAGAGCCGCCCCACCAAAGTAGCGCTAGGCCCAGACTGTTGTTTGTGAGGAATTCTGCCCATACTTTAAGGAATGGATAATACCAATGTTATTTAAAATATTGCAGATCAAAGAAAAAAAGTAGGAAAACTTCCCATGAGTATTAAGGAAAGGGATGCAGTTCCTTCTTGGATGATTGAGATGAACCTCAGAGCAAACAGTTGGGACCAAGGATGAAAGATAGCAGTAAAAGATATCAAATAAAACCTTGAACTTTGGGCCACATTTGTTGCCCCTGTGCCTTGTTGATTAATGAGAAGTTAAATCAGGAAAGAAAATTATTAAGTCAGTCTAGGTAGGCTTTGTAGAAGGCATGGGTATTCTTTAAAATGCGGTTGTATTTTATTCAGTTAGCCATTTGAGCATTAAATACAAAGCATACGTTGGTGGTAAGGGTGGGGCAATGAATAGGTTTTAAAAAAAGAAAAGGAAACATTAACTGTCTTCAGAGCAGATGCCTTGCATCCAGTATGTGGGAAACAGGGAGTAAGTACAGTAAGACAAGGGAATGAAGACAGAATGAACAGAAAAGAAGTAGTGTGGCCTGGTGACTGAGCCATAACCTCTAGATCATGGAGTTGGAACCCCAAGAAGATGGTCAACCCAATTTTATATCCATACCCAATGGTTTGGATAAGGATGTGGTAAGGAATCTTTAAAGGTCTTGGGGCCAGGAAAGGAGCATAATACAGAGGCCAGGAAATCAGACCAGATGGATGGGGCTGACCTTAAAAATATCCCAGTGGGATGATCCATGATAGAAACTTCTCCTGGGGCCTAAACCAGGTGAGCAGGGCCCCCTGCTCATAATGCTGCTCCTTACACTTGTGCTGTCATTTCCTCTAAACTTTGCCCACATTGTTCCCTCCTTCTTTTTTAGGAAATCTAGGATGAAAGTAACAGTGTGAAAGTTGAAACAGGGATGGCAAGGCAGTGAGAGTTTAGTAAATAAAAGAATGGGGAGGAGACCCACTAACATAACATGGTATTTCAAATGTGTGGATTAACCTCGTAGATTTGTTTTAAAAAAATGTGATGTCAGTAGTGGTGACACAGACTTCTAGAAGCTGTCCTTTGGGTACAGTTACTATTGTATCAACTTCAAACTGAGAGGGAGAGAGGAAGGGAGGGTGGGAGGGAGGGAGAGAGGGTGGAGTGAGAAAGTACATTGTTATACTTGCAAGTTCTCCACTGAAAGATGGAAAGATTCCCTAGCCTCACCTGATGTTTTCTGCCCAAGTTTTGTTTTGTTTTGTCTCACATTAAGTGACAAAATTTAAATTGTAGGTATTGTGTTAGTAATTTTGGTGCAGTGAACAGGAGTGTAACATCTACTTTTAAAGGGGTTTTAGTATGTGCATTTGGATAGCTTGGTGACCTTCGAAATTTTGTTTTGAGCTGTGTCAGAAACATAATCATTTTTCTTTCTGAAACAGATTCTAACATCTGCAAAGGTTGATCAAGCTAGGGTAGTTTTAATAAATTATTAGTCTCGGTTTTTTAATGTCAACCCAGCTTTTAAAACTGTTGATCAGCTACAGGAAACATCAGCTCAAGGTGCTTCTAAAAAATGTCTTTTCCATTAAATATTCTCGTTGTGGCCAGTGTATTGAGAGGATAGAAATTTGTTCCAGTCTTGTTCATCTGCAGTCCAGTTTTCCAAATCCTTCTTGTTTTTAAAGTAAAATTACTTAAATTTGTATTTCCTTATCTCAATAGTTAACTTAAAATTTTTTATATTTCAAGGAGGGGAGATTGTTCTGAATTCTGACATTAATCCTCCAAAGTCTGGATAAAGGACATCCACTTCTAACACAATTTCACTTAAATATCTAGTTTAAATATGGCTTGTCATTAAAAGGTTATTTACGTTTAAAATGCTGACCTTTCAAGATGTACACAAGAGTGTTCTAAAACAGAGTTTCTGAACATTGGCCATGAAACCACTGTCTTGGGCTGACAAATGGATTGGAAATAAGCTACCCAACACTGGGAATGGGCCATTAATTTTAATCAAAGGTGATGCAGGAAGGCGAATGGGATGCATGACAATGTCAACAGCCCAGTAGGTGTTAAGAGACCACACAGCCTTCCTTGTTACTTGGTTGGGCCATTAGTTGAGGTTGGGTGAAGACAGAAAGCCATGTCTGGAATTGAATGACCAGGTCACTCCAAAATCTAATGGAGAACTCCTCATTTCAGAAATCACATTGTAATGCCATTAGAAGTCAAGGACAGCATTTAGAAAATATTGGAAGATTTTTTTTTTTTTTTAACCAAGCACCTTGCTAGTTTTTTCCAACTTTGTCAAGCTCCCTGTTTCCTGCCTCCTTTCCTTCTGAATGGACCATTGATATTTACAGAGGATCAGGAAATCGAACGGACTTAGAAAAAAATCTCAAAGCCTGTTTGCTTCTCAGAATTACATATTGTTAGTTGTAAAACTCTGGTAAATGCCAGAAACAATAGCATACCAAAGGAATTAAGCAGGGCAATTAATTCTCTGTAGTGATCTCATTGTCCTTGTCCCTTTCTGTGTTCTTGTGTATAGGAATAGTTTTACTAATTGAAACTAAACTTTCTTAATTGCTTTAATGAAAACATTTGTTTTATAGTTATAAAGGCCACCGTGCTTGGGCCTCACTGTAAATTGTCAATATTGCCTGATAACATTCGTGATATTCATGGTGGTGAAAGCCTTTTCTTTTAATCAGTAAGTATGTTTCATTATTTTGAGTATTTTCAATTACAAAAAGGTAGCATATGACAGCTTGAATTAATGATATTTATAATAAAGACATAAAAATGCAGAAGGGACAAAGAGGCATTTTTACATCTATGCTTCAGGTTTGTTAAGAAAGTTCATTTATTCTGACACAGCCTTGCATGCATAAGAAAGATATGTATGACTGCATTAGCAATTTTTATACATTTTTAAGAAAGAAAAGCAATTATATCGCTGTCTTGTTAATGGAACACTGTTATAAGTAATAGTATTTGTTCTTTCTGTAGATGAAGATCAGCTCCGTGCAAAGGGTTATGACAAAACACCAGACTTTATTTTACAAGTTCCAGTTGGTAAGTCCTTAAACTGTCTTATGCATTTGTTTATAGTGAAAGGGGATGTGTTTTCTCCATAGATTTATTTTTTTTTACTTTTTGTTAATATTAGCAAATGTTACCAGAGTAGATTAGCTTTAAATGGGTGAAATTGTTAGAAAAGATTATTTTAGAAGAGCAGAAAATAATTGGTTCAGAAGAAATATCTGCCTTAAAAACGTTTACATATATTTAAGCAATAAACATATCTTCTGAAGACATTTTGGGTGCCATTTTCAGGTCATTTCTCTAAATTCTGAATTTTTAAACATGATTCCTCTGAAAAGCCAGACTGGCTCACTTGGGTTTGCTTTCACAGTACTTGTCCACTTACAGAGGCAGTGTCAGAATAGGAGGGGGATTTTTGAAAATGATGATGAAAATGAAGGGGATGTGATTATAGCACAAATGGTCCTTGTAAGGAACATATATGATGTGTTGTTTTATAATTACTTCCATTGATGACAGCAAGGGCCGAGCCTCCGCTCATTAATGTGAAGCACAGAGAGGCCTAGGCAGAGTTCAGTATTTCCAGTCTTCCCTTCTCTTTGCTCTGTATTAGTAATGCTTTGTCCCTTAGCTGTAGAAGGGCACATAATTCACTGGATTGAAAGCAAAGCCTCATTTGGTGATGAATGTAGCCACCATGCCTACCTGCATGACCAGTTCTGGAGCTACTGGAATAGGTAAGGTCCCATTATTTTTCTCTTAAGATAAACGATACTCGGCTGAAATCTCATTAGAAAAAATATTTTGTTTAGCTGGTAAAAATGCTAGTAGCCTTTGTTTCTGGTAAATACAGAGACTTGATTAATGTATTCATTTCAGATAATTTAAACTTCTCTGCTTTCATAATGTTGCTTCATTTTTTAAAACTAACAATCTCTGCATAAAGTCAAAATTCGCATATACTCCCATTTTCCGTTTTACAGCAATAATATTGGTAGCACTTAAAATAGGAATAATAAGCCAGGGTGCCTGTTGACACTAACTTTTTATCCTTTGGATGTGAAATTTATGCTTACTCTCAGACCTTTAAAAAAATCATATCCTCAGCTCTCTGAGGAAAGTATCCAAGTGATATCAAAGATCAAAACGATTTGCCTTCCAACAGAAAAACAGTTTACCTACCAACTTCAATCAACAGTCCTGACTGAAGCCATGGAAACCTCATCGATTAAGGGAAAGGGTTGGAGGGGAGGATGCTTTATTATCAAATTCCTGGGCCTGGGCCTTCATATTCTCTCAGCTAATCCTCACATGGAAGTTACTTTTCCCCCATTTTACAGATAACAGAGTCTCAGAGAGAAAATAATATGCCATACAGTTAGTCATCATTTGTCTTTCTCGCTCCCAAACCTATGCCCTTTCCAGTACATCTCTGTTGTCATTTATAGTACAACTGTTGAAATTTTGGCTTTTTCTGTTATTGAAGTGCCACATTTTCACACTTTGCAATTTTTCCCCTTAGAATAGGAGGTAGGGCAAGGGGTAACCTTTCTAGATTAACTGTGTTCCTCAGTCACTGGCCAGCAGTAAGAATACAATAATAAGATGACATGGGCCCAGGTCATTAAGGAGTGAGACAGTAGCATCTGGGCACAATAGTCTCATCCTGGGGAAGAACAGAACAAAACAAAAAAACAGTGACAGGCTACAGAATTTGGTATTATATTGTTACTCAGCTTTACAAAAGGCCAGCAGACCTCGTCCGTAGCAGCTGTGCTAAAACTAAGCCCACTTTTTGCCATGGTAACAATGATCAGGACAAAATGCTGAATGTAATGGCTTTCTTGATTTTCTTGTGTAATTGTGCGTAGCATCCGAGCTTTACTTTACAGGGATGGAGGAGAAGAGTGCAAAATGTTTTAGAAATCAATTCTGCTTCAGCGTTCCCTATCTTTTATTCAGCCATTATTCAAATTAGCAGTAATGTGGCAAATTGAATTTTAGATTTTTAGCAATTTTTTGAGTTTGAAATAGTAAAGAAAGCATCATCTTTGGTGATACAGGGAAAGCAATGACAAGAAAATCAAATTGTGTAAGTTTAGGTTGCTAAAGCATTTTTAACTCTACTGAAAAACAAAACCATTATGCACTGAGACGGTGCCCCCACTTTGGTACTGATCAAGTCTTTTATGAGGAACAATTACAAATTGAATTCCAAAGACTAGCGCTTACTTGAAAGTCATATTTTTTTCCTAAAACAAGTGAACTATTTATTGAGTGCCTACTATGTGTCTAACACTATTTTAGAGGTTGAATAAATACTCTAGTCAGTAATCGGACCCCCATGCATTATTGACCCAGCTGGAGGGGATCTGAGCTATGGATAATTTAATACAGTTTCCTTTGGACTGGATTTTAGATTATTTCGTTGTGTGCTACTTTTTCTATTCTAATGATGTTTTACTTACATGACTATTGGTTTACATTCCCTAAACATGTTCTTTGAATATGTACCAGCTCTTGGGCATGACTCATTCGGGGTATATTACGCAATAAGGGAAAGTTAGCCTTGATTTTGAATGTTCCAGATCATCCAAGGAGGAAATACTCTACACAGAATTCAGTAGTTTTACCAGATGTCTGCAGAGAGGCCAAGAAATGGAAGTAGTGGTGATATTCAAAATGGAACACAGAGGCATTTACTTGGATATAAAATTTTGATGATAACAGTGATACGGACTTACCAGTGATAGGACATTTTGACAGGAGAACTTAGCCAATTTATGAAAGTATGGTATCCTACTCTTCATATTTTGCCTCAACACAACTCACATAGTAGTTGCTGAAATTGTTGAGAGTGGAGGAAATCATCTCTCCCACCTGTAGGTAGCCTTTCAAGGAGGCTATTGACTGGTTGGCATTTGGGCTAATTGCTTTATTTGTGTGATGAGCCTCTAGTTAGCATAAACACTGTTATCAAATTGTCACACTGTTTTTTAGATTATATGTTGGATTTTACAATAAGACTGTTCAATGAATATTTGTAGAATCATGACCTTGTATAAACCCATTATCTCACATAAATAACTACAGAGCCCTTAATTTTTAGTTTAATGTTTCTACAAGTTTTCTTTTTTTGTGCAAGTGGATATTCTTATTCATCCTTTCAGCAATTTTGACAAAGTTGATCATACCCTACCTCTTTATTAAAACATCTTTTCTTGGGATGCCTGGGTGGCT